CTGTGGGTCGGGGGGTCAGCTTCCCTCAGCTCAGGTGAGCACCTCCCGGGAAAGCCGTCAGCGTTTCCTGGATTATTTTCCACCGAGGATTACGTCGTATTTTATATAAATTATATTTCTAAAAGCACCTCGCAGCATTTCTCCTGTGTTCACGAGCACAACAAAACCGCGACAGATCACCTGACTGGTTTTAAAGCGAGGGCTGTGAGGCAGTTTGACCGCAGCTGCTGCACCTGTCCACCTGCAGTGTAGCTACGAACAGCCCGGGACTTCAGAGTCCATAAGTCAACCCCTTCAGATGGTTACTTGTATAATGAGCATCAAAAATCAGTAATTTGGCGCAAAAAAAAAAATCTGTATTAATCACACGCGAGTGGGGTGGAGGTGCAGGAGGACCACAGCTGTGCAGTGTGGGGGAGGAGGAGGTGGGGCGTCTCTTAAAGACGTATCAACATTTGACTTTCATTTTTCCAAAAATCACAGAGTTCTCTGAGTCAGCTTCAGGTGTTTGTAGTTAATCATATTTTCTAAATTTAACCAGGTGTTTCAATGCATTTAAATTACACAATTGTTTTATTGGAGAAACTTCTCAGTTTGGTCAAAAAACAAAACAAACAAAAAAAAAAAACAGTAAAAATAAATAATTTTTTTCTGTGCAGAGAACTTCTGCTATAATTTATTTTAAATAAATATATCAAAGCTCCTCAGTTGAAAACACTAAAATGATAGAAAAGATGTTTAAAAACCTCTTTCCTCAGAAGGTCTTCAGTCCTAAGAACACTAAACGGCTCATGATAGGTCACCACACCACCACGATTAAAAAAAATCCTAGGGGAAACCCTGGTGGATATGGCTTTGTTTATGACAGAAAGACATTTGTAAATTAGTGAAACAAAAACAACTCATGTTATAAATTTGTTTGTGGCATAAACTAACACCAGTTGTGAAGATTATGAGCCCTCATATCCCACACAAGGCTCTGCTTTTGCAACAAATACGGATTTGTACTTGGGCTGCACAATAATACAAAACCTTACGATGGCGATAATATTTATAAATATTGTGATGATGATATCAAGTGTGATATGTGTCTTTTTCTTCATTTTCTAATCTGTACTTTAGCAGTTTTGGCAATGTTGTGTGTTTGGTGTGAGCTTTTTACTGCTGTGAGACTCTGTCCTACTGTCTAAATATTGCATTAGCATGAATACAACTTCAAAACTCTTCAAATACATTAGACCTTTAGGATATGAATATTGTGCACAATGATGCTGCAATGACAACATATTGTGTGATATATTGTGCAGCCCTAATTTGTACACAAATTTACAAATATTACCATTTCCTAGATGCAAAGGTTGCCACATTGAAAAAAAATACCCCATCAAATATTGCATAACGGACACACTTCACGTGGCTTTAATTATGGAGCAGCTGCAGAAAGGTCTTTTGTTTTTGTTTTTCATATAAAGCTGTTGTCAATAAAATAAAAGCAAACATGAAATATGATTGACATTGTGTGCTTTAGTTACGGAGTTACAAAAACATCTTGAGTAATATGATGCAGATCATGTTCTTTTTTCACATTTACACATCTACTAACTATGAAAGCACTAAACAAAAAGAATAATCTATGAATAAATAATGCCATTTGTCATCAGCATTACAAAGACTTGTTATTGAGTACCAAGTCTGCAAGATTGGCTGATACTGCATGTGAGTAAAATTCTTACAGATTAATTAAATTTTCTATTTGACCTTTTAATTTCTAATTATTCTAATATAACTGCTCAAATCTTAAACAAAAATTTCAAAACATAACGAGAAGCCTTGTTAATCCAGGTTACTACTGGATCCTCGGGTGTTGTACCAAAAAACTGTCCCCTGGCAGATTAGGCACTACTTTGTCGTTCGTCCACAAGTAAATTTGAATAAAAGCGAAAAAAAAAATTAAATTAATTAAAAAACGAACTTTTTAATAGTGCTCCTCAAACATGAACATATTTTATTTTGAAATTCATTTGTGCACACGAAGCATGTGTCTTTTTATTTATTGATGAAAGCCGTGCTTTTATTTGGCACAACACCGGATGTTCTGCTTTGAAAATGTTCTCGGACTTCCCTCCTCCCCGGAAAATCTCGTATCGCTGCTCAATCATCCAGAACACGGATGTACAATGATTAAGAAATGCAGATAAACGTATTCTTACTGAGTAGCGAAAAACATTTCTTTTTTCACTTTTAAACTGCACTGAAAGCACGCTTCCACATTAGGGGGCCCTTTTTTCGGTACAACACCGGTCTCGTCCTGGCAGTAAAAATCGCTGCCTAACCGTAAATATATATACATATAAATTAGTCATCGATAAGAAAAGAGAATAAAACAACTCGAAACACTGCACAGTGTTTGTACACTCATATTCACCGTTGCATTTAATTCCAGTGTCTGCTAAAATAAATTAGACATTTTAGAAAAGGCGACGAGGCGGACGCTTCGGTTTTAAAAGCCTGGATCGGAGACAAAGTGTTCTGTAACTCACCCGAGAACCCCAGGCTTGTACGTCCTCGTCTTCCACGGCGTCCAGGTGTTCCCACAGTTGCCATTAGTGCAGTTCGAAAGCCAGTAATTTGCCCCATACGTGCTCGCCTTATTGTCACTTTTCCTTCTGCCCGGGTGGTGATTGTGTGAGGGATTACCGTGTGCGGAGGGGGGGACCTGCTGCTGGTGACGCTTCCCACAGACCTGCGGTAAATTTAAAGCTGGGTGTTCCTCTGCGTGTTGGTGGTGACAAAGGTCCACGTTACTCTCCACGCTGCTGTCCCTCGAGCAGAAGAGCGTGCTCCCGTTTTTATTAAAGTTGCCCGTCACAGTCCCCCCCGTAGTCCTCTCAAGCGAGCAGCCCGAAGGAGTAGCAGAGCGCTCCGTCTCGGATTCCTGGGAAGACGAGGAGACGTAGCCCGTCTTCCTTTGGGGCAGGATCTTCTCCTCCCCTGTCGGCTCCGCGACGTTCCCCGTCGTGAAGGAGTTGTGCGCGGTCCCGGACGCGGCTGTCCCCTGCCTGGGGATCGCCGTGCCGCTACCGCTCTGTGGAGGGATGCTGTGATGCTGGCTGCTGCCGTTGCTCGTTTTGCTCGATGCAACTGCGGTCGCCACATTTTTTAAAACATCCAGTGCCGCATAGCCGACGAACGCCGGGCCGTGGAGCTGCCGAGCGGAGAGCGTCCCCGCTCCCTGAGAGGTCTCCCAGACGTGCATCCATAAGGCGTTCGCAGGTCCTTTCTGTTCGGGCTGAATCCAAGCTACCCTCGGATCCATTCAACTTCTCTCTCTGGTAACCCCCCTCCCCCCCAACAATTACCTTTATCTTTAGCGAGCCCGTTGTGATTCCGCGCCGTTCCCTGGACCGTTCGACGTGCGCTTTCGCTATTCAAGGTTACGAGAAGAGAATAAATAAATTAAAAAGCCGATTTAGAACCATTGATTAACTGGCCCGTCTACACAGCTAGCTGCAAGAATGCTAGCTGATTCCTACGGGAATTCAATATGGCGTATATTCCCTTCAAATATAACGCGCATGCGCACGGCGAGTTTTGTTTTTTTTTTTTTTTTAAACGACGACTGCTACCCCCATCCGTCCACCCTCTCATTTTTCACTCCACAGCTCGGGCGACAGTCAGTGAAATCCCACCACTTGGATTTTTATTTGCTAAATATATAATTCGGCTGCGCGTTCAACCATCGATTATGACTGGAGGGAGCAGGGCTCCTCGCGAACGATAGAAGCTCGGTTCAAAGGGGATTCCCACCGCCCGTCACAAGCCCACTCGAGTTTGTCTTTTATATTTATTACCCAAGGTGGAAGGTTCTGTTTTAACTCGTGTTTATCTGCTACCATCAAAAAAAATAATTACTTTGTATCTAGAGGGAAACACAAAATTTTCAAATAACTTAGCCCATTTTACAGAAACAGGACTAAAATCTGGGAGCTGAGTATTACACAACACATAGGCCTACTGCATTACACATTGCACAATATTTTTGTTTAAAACATTGCAATTAATATTTTGTCAAACTAAAAGCCATTAAAGGGGACATATGTAAAAATCCACCTTTTTAATCTTTAAATAGTTTGTTGTGTACTTGGAGTAGGAGTGCCAAAACTTTTTAATTTCGTTTTCCCCAGTGCTGCACAGATATATTTATATTCAGTTATGGTTATACCTTTCAACCCATTTTGTTGGTCTGGGCTTACCAACTACATCAGACTCTGGCTCCAACATGTAAGGCTGGATGGACAAGTCTTCCCTTGTTGATGTCTTTTAATAAAAACTTTCTGCTCTGCTTTAAACCCCTATATAAAACTGGAATGGAAGCTGGAGGGGGCGGGGTTTGAAGTGCTTCCTTTGGATTTAAAGAGACAGCCTCCAAACGGGTTGATTTGAGACATGCCTCAGAAAATGGGTGACAAAGGGGCTTGTGAAGTTACAATAAGGAGGAATTCAGACCAAAGCATTGCACTTCCACTTTATGGCTGTGTCCAAAACGACAGGCTGGGTCCTCCGGAGGACCCAGACTCCCCGGTCTCGGCGGGCCGGGTCCTTGGTAGACCAGGAAGACCGGAAAAAAAGAGGCTGTGAATTTGGACGGTCTAGCCTCCCCTCCTTACTCTGGCGTAAGTCATGTCACCTAGCAACTGTGACGACGCTAAACACATAAATCAAAACTAGAAAATTATCAATACATTAGCATTATTAATATCACAAAACTATAAAATTAACTTA